CCAGTATACAGTATCTAGTTTTGATTTATTCTGCTTTATAGAAAATAGATTTCACTGTCTTTGAAGAGTTTATTTTTTTTTTTGTCTTTATCAAAAATCCAATTTATTTTAATGATGAGTGATTTATAACATTAAAAAGAGTAAAACTTCCAGTGGATGATTAGTAGTTTTGCCAAAAGCAGCCTTTACTAAAACATATTTGCTGTATGTTACTCAGCTTTTTACCATTTATTTACCAGAGGTGACTGAACACTATAATTAGTTAACCATGGTCAGAATGTAGTGCAGCATGTTTATTATATTATATTTATTATGCATGGAGCATGACGGTCAAAAGACATGAAAATTAACACGTTAATTTGTTGAAATAAAACATTTCTTTTAGCTGCAAATGAAAGCAAAAAACTGTTTTTATCATTATTTCTGATAGTMTTGTTAATGTCTTACGAAATTTGTATTATTTATTTGCTACATTGTGTTTTTATACTTCTACCTGCTAAGCAAACGATGAATGGATCTTTTTGTTCTGATTTTTGGTGTTTCATATTTTTTATTTTTGAACAGTTCCGTCTCCGCGACCAGACAACTCTTTCCATGACAGCCGGGGCCAGAGCCGGGACTCCGCTTTGTCCGGGGACGGCAGCAGTTTGACAAATCACTCCAAACGTCAGCCTGCGTTTGACCCCTGGTAATTACAATGTGTAACCACAACCAAAAATACTCGATTTTGWTTGCTAAAAAAAAGCTTCTTTTTTTTGTTTGTTTCTCAACTTTGACAGCATGACAGCAACGCAAATTAGTTCAGTGCTGTTGTTGTTGAAACAATGCTGTCAAAACTAATTACACACTGCCCAGATGACACAGTGGGCTTGACACAAATTGTCAGGTCTTATTTGAAATTGAAAAAAGAAAAACACTTCTCAGCTGGGACATCATGCTAAGCCCTCTTTTTTTTATGTTCAGGACTGGCCCAGATACTGTAGTCCTGAATGCCTCGGAGCCGTCCAAAGAAAAGGAGAAGCAGGGTTTCTTCAGAGCAATAAAAAAGAAAAAGAAAAAGTCTCAGATGGTAAGTTGCAGATATTCAAATTTAATTTTTTGCTTTACTAGTTGTGTCCACATGTGGTACCTCTTCCACTGCTTGTTTACCTGTTTGCTCCACTGTCACTTTTGCAGAAATACACTTGCTGATTGATGTGAATCATTGTTTTCCGTGCCACCAGTCATGTGCTTCTATATTCCAGGTGGACGTCTGTGATGGAAGGCCCCCTGTCATCAAGAAATATCTTTTCCCTCTGTTTAGTCCAAAGAATAGCATAAAGCATAACTCCTTTGTGAGAGTCCTCCCTGTAGTGTCTTCTCCCATGGTACATGTTGTTTTACAATCTCCTCAGTGTCTCCTATCTCACATTGCATGTATTTACATTTGTCAGCGCYGTTTTGTTGACTCATTTTAAGCCTGCTTCTCTTAGAGATTTACACAAAAAAGAGTAGAGTTTGTTTGACAATAAAAAGGTATTATTACGATTCTTAAACAGAGCCATACCCACAAATAAGGATACATGTTTGTTTTGGATAGCTGAAGTTGGATTTTACAGATTGATGTTTCTAGTCTGAATAATAGGTCTAGTATTTCATGCATGTATCACCCCTCACCTTTCATGTCATTGATTTAAACTGAGATCATTCTGTGTGGAGAAAAGATGGTATGTAGCTGTTTGCATTCTGTATATAATATATATATAATACTATACCAAATCTCATGTTCAGATTACGTGTTGAGAATGACTCTCAACTACTAGAGATGGGATGAACGGCTCTTTGAGGGGATCTGGATCTTGATGATCTGTTTGTTTCATAGAGCTGTTCAGTTTTGAATGAATTACATCAGGTAGGGAAATAAGTCACATAAGCCATATGTGATGACGTCATCACGTCACGTGGTGGAACCATGGTTTTTTTTTAAGCAGAACCCCCCAAGCTGCTGTACTCCACCACTCTGCCTGTTTACAGTGAAAAAACAAAGGAGGAGAGATTGTCTCTTATGTTAAGAAGAAAAAAGAAAGATATTACACGGAGTAAAAACAAACAGCTCTTTACTCTCTGCAACTTGGTTCCTATCCTTCATTGTAAGGAGCTGTTTAAAAGATACGGGTTGTTTGCAAACATCACATCTCTCACTACAACTGGTCCCAATTTTAGTACAATATACATACTTAGCAGAAAAAGTAAGGACATGAATGACTGGAAGATTATTTCTTTGTTGTAACGAGCCTCATGCAAGAACATGTTCGTATTCTTATCCTAAATTTCTCTTACTTTTGTTCATACAAAGGGTTCATACGAAC